TATTTTTATTTCTGTTACAAGGTTGGGTGAAAAAAAAAAGAGCCCAAGCACAGTGGGAACATGTGTGTTTTTGTGTGGAGGAGAGCATTTTGTAAAAAGGAAAAGACTCTCCCCATTAAGAAACACAACCAGGAATGATTAGGTCACACCACAAAAGCAATTAGAAATGTCTTGCTAGACCATTTCATAAGTTATGTGCTGAACCAAGTGCTGCTGCCTACATGTATGATTACAGTCATAACAGAACATGGAGTTAGATTTGCAGCTTCTCAGCTATTCTTCTTCCATCATTCCTAACAGAGAAGCTATTTGAACTCCATCCATATATATTTTAAATTTATTACTTAGTATAAGAGTAGTAAAAACAATTTGAGTATGATAGAGTTAAATAACATTTTTATTTATAAATCATTAAATTGTGCCAATCAAATAGTAACAGACAGTAACTGCTGATATCTCTGGTGGGAATTTCCCAACTCAGTAACATTGGAGAGAAAATGAAGTGAGTTTCCCAGCAGGCAAAGTTGTACCTACCAGTCCTCACAATTTCTTATCTAGACAGAGCTGATGAAATGTCACTGTTGCCAGTTGACAAATTCCTAAGTGATGTGCCCACTTGTTGGAATGAAGTTGAGCCAATCGATTTATTATCTGATCCTCCTGCAGAATCTCCAGTGAATTTCATCAAATTGGAGTGTGCCACCTGAGGGGTGACACCCAGCATCCCTGCAGGACTGGAGTGTGTGTAATTAACAAGCTGGTTGCAGGAAAGATTATAAACAATGCAGGGACACCCCAACACAGGAAGGGGGCCTAAACAGATCAAGGGTGGTAAAGGACAGATGGTGGAAATTGATGGGATGGTTCTCTCAGGGAACTAGACATCGCCTGTTCTTCTGATGTTAATTAAAAGCAGTTCTGAGTGTTGCCACAGCAGAGAGCTGCTGCTTCTCAGAAATCACGTCTGTGTGTAGAGGGGAACATTCTGGTTGTTAGTCCTTGTCCCTTTTTTAGGGAGACAGAAACTAAGAGGCTTTCAGGAATAGTGGGCACTTAGAATTTTCAAAATGACCCCACCAAATTTGATATATATATTTTTACTAGTATCTCTAAATGTGCTGGTTTGATAGCAGCCTTGAAAATGTCAGAAATGTGTCTCTAAATGCAACCAGTGTGACCCACGTCCACGCCAACGTCCAGACCCTGATTGAAGAGTCAGAGAAACTGGCCACTGATGCTCAGAGCACCATAAATAGGATGAGCTTGGTAAGCAGTGCCCAGGGCTTCCATGTCCACTCCTCTTCTGCACACCATGCTTCTTCTGGAAGGTGCTTGAGCTTGCACTCAGTGGCTCACATATATGTTCATCTGTTTCCTTTTCTGGTAGCATCTGTGGGTTTTTTTCATCACATTATATACCCTTTACTTTTAATTTTTTTTTTTTTTGGTTTTTTGGTTTGTGTTTTTTTCTGAGACAGGGTCTCCCTGTAGCCCCAGCTGTCCTGGAACTCACTATGTAGACTAGGCTGGCCTTGAACTCACAGAGATCCGCCTGCCTCTGCCTCCGGAGTGCTGGGACTAAAGGCATGTGCCACCATGCCCTGCCTACTTTTAAATGTTTTTAGGAGAACAGGGTCTCGATACGAGGCATAGGTTGACTTGATTTCCTGGGTCCAAATGATCTTTCTGCTTTAGCCTCCTGAGTAGCCAGAACTATAGACGCATACCATTGTCTTTAGCTCAGTCTAATCTTTTAGTCATAAATGCTTCTTCATGAAGATTAATAACATAAGGAAGACTTAAAATTTCTTTTGAGGAAAAAATGGCGATGCTGAGGCTGGAGAGATGGCTCAGCAGTTAAAAAAGCACTGGCTGCTCTTGCAGAGGACCAGGGTTGGGTTCTCAGCAACCACATGGTGGCTCATCCTAGTCTGTAACTAAAGCTCCAGGGGATCTGATTCCCTCTCTGAACTCCACAGGCATTGTGTACACGTGGTATACTTACATACACACAGGCAAAACATTCATATGCATAAAATAAAAATATTTTTTTAATGACAATGCTCCAGGCGTGGTAGCACAGGTCTTTAGTCCAAGCACTTGGGAGGCAGAGGCAAGCAGATCTCTGTGAGATCAAGGCCAGCCTGGTCTACATAATGAGTTCCAGGCCAGTTGGGGCTACAGCAATAACAAAGAAACAAACAAAATGACAGTGCTATCTGATATCTACTTAAGACATCGCTCTTTACTCAGGGTGAGAAGCTTTGTAAGAGCTGGCTTCCTTCTTTCCATACTTAAAAGTGTCTTGGTCTTCTCGCTTCTCAGACATAGTGAATTGCCCCTCCAGCTCTGTGGTTCACTGGTTATTTGGCAGTTGGGTGGCGGCTCTTCTGGTAAATCTGCTTTCTTCCTGTAGTCGCCCTATGTAAGTAGTTCTGTTTTTTAGATCTCAGAATCCCTAGTTTCTCGAGGGAAAGCAGTTCTGCAGCACAGTTCCAGATTTCTAAAGGAAAACAGTGGCGTCAGGAAAAAACAGCAAGGTCAGTTAGCAGCCGGATGAGCAGAGTAAGAGGAAGCATGTCTCTGAACATCCTTAAAGAACTTTTTTCCTGGAGCAATTTGAGCTTCCCATGTTTTTTTCTCTCCTTAATATTGTAATTTCCTATCACCTGAACATTACGTGATTTTGAATCTAATTCTACTGTAATCACTTGCTTGAAGGTGCATGCATCTTTATCATTAAGCCTTCCTAGTTATTAGATTTTACACTCATTGCTTGAGTCCAGGGTCTCTCTAGTTCTTCTGGGGTGTGTGGGGTTTCCTTTGAAGACAGCGTTCCTTGGTTTCTGTATTTCCCACATCCTAAAAGAAATAGGTTATGTCTGATACTTTCTGTCCCTTTCATTTGACGAGTACCATGTTAGACTTCTGCTGGGCTATCACTGAAAAATAACTAGATTAAATCATAAATTATGGATCATCTTTTCAATAAATACCTATACTGTATAAGAGTTCCTGCAAGCAACTGCTTGGCACATGTAAGAGCTATCCAATAAGTGTAATGCAAAATGGCAAGAATCTGTTTTGTAAGAGAAAGTTTGCGGGCATGAAATGTTTTATAATGTACAGCATGCTTCTTATGTTGACCAGACTATTTCCAGGGGTAATGCTGGATGCTCCTATTGCTGTCTGAACCCGGGCTTGACTCTGCATTTTTGCTTCTCTGTGAATGACACAGCGCAGAAATTCCATTGTCATGTTAGAGCATCCCAATGTGTATCACCAACTTCCCAATGCATATCACCAACTCAATCATAATACTGGTGGGCTTTGCCTTCAGTTTGCACAAATAAAGGAACATGTAGACTGTGAAGATGTGAAATTCTTGGCAACTAAAATGTCATGTTTTAACCACATGTTCAAAATCCTAAATGTGGTTTTGTATTCTGGACAAAAACTAGTTTGAATAGCATGAATAGAAGTTAAAAAGGTGGTTTAATGGAATAGAAAAGGGCTGGGGCTTGGCAGGTTGGGGACTATGAAGAAGATCTGAGAGAGGGGCCCACATTCAGGGTTTGCTAGCCTAGGGGAGAAAGGTGGTCAAGTTCCAGGTATGAGTAGAAAAGTCTAGAGCGCAGGTTAAAAATGTCTTCAACTTTGAGCTTTAATAAAATCAGGCATAAAATTCAAGAAGTTGTATAGTGGAAAAGACAGTAGCAATGTAGAAAAAAATATCAAGCAAGGCAAAACCCATCCTAATGTCCATAATAATAAATAGTGGTACGTCTTGCCGGAGGAACTTTCAGCATTGTGTCTGTAGAAAACTGTCGATTCTGTGGATGGTTAGGAATTGACAACGCTGTTGCCTAGGCAACATTTTAGCAGGCTAACCTAAAATGGAACCTTTTTTCCCTTTACATAGGTATTACATTGAAGCTGAATGAGTTGAATAATTTGACAAGGAGATTTCAAGAGAATGTGGATAACATTACTCAGCAGACCAATGACTCCCTCTTGATAATTAGAGCAATTCCTGAAGGTCAGTAGAAAAGAGTTTCTCAGTCTGATTAGTGAGTTCTCATTATAAAAGCATTACACAGTAGCATGAGGAAGTCCTGCCTGTGTCTCAATAGGAGCTCTGGCTCAAAACAAGCCAAGATTGCTTGTTTCAACTTGCAAAGGAATGTGAATTAGAAGTGAAGGTCTCAGAACTTTTTACAGTAACAGCATCAAAATGCTACAGTTTCACTCAAGAGACTTAGAAACTTTCTGCTATCATCTTAATTGGTTGCTTTCAGAGGGCTTGACATCACTTAGAGAAGGACCATTCAAAGAGATCAAGGAGTAAGAAAGTGGAATGTGCTTTACCTGCCTTTGGAGAGAATGCCAGTTTCATTATAAACATGGCAATTTTTTTGCTTGGTGTTCTTCCTCCCTAAGGCAGTAAAGCATTGTAAAATAGGCCTGTTGATCACTTAATATTGATGGCTTGTAAAATGTTCATTAACATTTTAAATAAGTTCTTGAGTCATAACAAGTGAATTGTGCTGAAGTGCCCTCTGTGTATTATCTCAGACTTCCTGTTCTAAGTCTCACTTTATACTTGAGGTGCTCCAGAGTCCTGTCTGCTCAGCTCCCTTGTAAGCAAGAAACTTACCAAGGGGAGCAGGGTTCTGGGTGGACACATTGGGCTTCCTTTTTATCAGAGTCAGTAGGAAATTTTCTCATCTAGAAATTTATTTTTCCTTTTCTGTTTTTTCCCCAGTGAAATATATTGTCCTTAATATATTTTGATGAAATACTTAACTTTTTATTGGGAACAAATTCATATTTACAGAAAAGTTGAAAGAGCAGTGAAGAGTACCTGTATAGTTTTTTCATTATTTTTATCCAGGGTGTCATCACATACCTTGACTGGCCTCAAACCCATGATCATACTGTCTGTGCTACCCAGTGCTAGAATGACAGGCATGTACCACCATACTAGGCTTGATTCCAATATATGTTTGTGCAGCTTCTTCTAGAATTAATACTTTGATCTGTGAAATTACACATTTTAAAATGGATTGCAATGTTTTCATTGCCATGGAAACATCCTCACTCAGATATCTTGAATAATAAATTCCTCTTTATCTTCCTGGCCGTGTGCTCACTGTGTTCCCATCATTTCTACATACAAGTAAATACCACTTTGTCCAGTCTAGGCCACTTCCCTCTTAACCACCAACTTAAGTTCTACAACCTTCTTATCCAGACATGAAATGATGTAGATGAGGAATGTGTTTTTTAAATATTTTATTTATTATTTTTATTTTATGTGTATCAGTGCATTGCCTGCATGTATGTAAGTACACCCTGTTGAGGCCAGAAGAGGGTATTTGAGTT